TTTAGATATAAAAGTAAGTAATATTTAATATATTTTAATATAAAATAACTTATAAAAATAAAATACATATTTTATACATATATTATTAATAGTTTTCCAAAATTGCCGAAGAAACAGAATATTTAGCTGATCATCCGGAAATAAAACAATTAATTGCAGATTATATTCAAATGCTGTTAGTTGGTAATCAATTTCTCAATTGGGGAAACATTGTACCAATATTTCTTAAACAGGTTAAATTGCATTTTACTTTTTATAATAATATATTAATATCTTCATAATTTACTGGTCTCCACAGTAAAACCAGAAAATGTGATAGATTTTACAATACAACATTTTAAAGCATTTGCAAAAAATCCAATGACTTGGGAGACCAGTACATTGAAAGAAGATTATGATAATGATGTATCATCACAGCTCACAGAAAAGAAGTTAGATACTTTATGCAATATCTGTGGATTTTATGTAGATTGTACTGCATTGAAAAAAATTTGTTCAGAAGAAATTACATGTTTCACACAAGAAAATCATGAGAAAGTAAATATTTTAATATACATTATATAGTATAATATACCATATAAAAATTATAAATGATTTATTTCAGAGTTCCAAAGTTTTAAGCTCTATTGATTCAAAAAATTCAAATTTTACATCTGATATTGAAGAAAAATTGGATATATCTACTTCAAATCATGTGTCTAATTTTTCTTCACAATTAGAAAGAACTTGTGATCAATATGAAGCTATTGTTGAAATTTATGACAAATATAAAGTAAATTTTATACATATTTATAATAAAATTATATACATATATTATACATGTATTATATTTATAAAACATTCATACAATTGTTTAATTTTCAGTCTTATACGAAATGTTTTGAATGTTCTAAAGTTTCTAAAATATGTACAAAATGTTCTATCATAAATCAAATATTACAAAAATTAAAAGACTAAATAGCTATAAATTTGAGACTATAAACATTATTTTTAATTAATGCTAAAATTTACCTGTATCATTGTCTGTTAGGAGATGTATCTTTTTGGGAATTACAAATAACGCAATTTTCCTAAAAAATAAAATTAAAACATATAAAAATTGAAAAATATTTAAATTATTTAAAATTAAGATACATACTACTACTTCGAAGTTTGGTAAACAATCTTCATGAAACGAATGTTTACAATAAAATACTACTAAATTTCTTGGTTCTGTAATAAAAATAATATATTACAATCAAAATGTCGTTAATATTGTATTTAAATAGCTTATATTATTTTAGATACCTCTTATAATTATTTTTCTATGACAAGCTCCACACATTTGATCATCTAAAAGAAAAGACAAAAATTATTATATAATTATTATTAATATAATATATTTATATAATATAATTGAATAATTATATAATATAATTAATATAATATAATTGAAATTCTTATAAAATTTGTTTATATCTTTTTACAATTATTTTTATAATAATTATAATAATTTTTAAAATAATTAAATAATTTATAATTATTTATTACTAACCATCTATAAATATTCCTTTTTGATGACATTTAACTAATCTTTCATGTAAATTAAAATAATCATTAGATAAAATTTGTTTACATCCTTCTTGTACTGAAACTTGAAGATTATAATCACACATCATTTTAACTAAAGCTTTTTTCAGGCCTGGAATTTCTAAAGATGGTTTTATTCTTTCTACCATAAGTCTAGGATCGACATATGTGCCTATTTTTTTGCAAGAGAAATGTAATAGCCTCTGAAAGAAACATTTTAATATTATAATTTTAATATATTACAATTATTGGAGAACTTAACTTATATTATAATTTAATAAAACATATTATTTCAATTTCTTACTAGGCTTATCTAGAGAATAAATAATCAAATCATTCCATAATTCTTCATCATCATGTTCTTGACAAAATGTAATTGCACTCTCCATATCATTCAATTCTCTAGTCATAAGTGCTAAAGCTTCAGAAGTATTTCCAATTCTACCAAGTAGATATACCATTTCTGGATAGAATTTTTTTTGACTACAAATATCTAATGCTTGTTGTATTGGATAATTATCAGATCGACGTAAAAGTGGTAATAATTTATCTCTTGAATAATTAGCATAAAGTTGGACTAGCAACCCATGGTATGTACCTTTTGTATCTTTTTTATCTAATGCATCTAAATACTATTATAAATTATCTTTAAATATTAGAAGAAAGAAATTATAATATATATTTCATATATATTTTTGATATCTTACCAAATATAAATATCGATGATTATGCTGTAATTTTTGTACAACAATATCAGATGGCACTCTGTCTTTTTCTAAAAAAAATTGTATAGCACGTTCCGCATCTAAATCCATTAAACCTTCTATCATATCGTAAACAGTATTATACAATTGATATTTTTGAATAAGTTGAAATACATCTTTATGTCTCAACTTTAAATACATAGCTAACGCTTTGTCGTACTTTTCATCGTGAATATATAAAATAGCTAAAGCTTCTAACAATACATTTTGTCGTTGATTATGAATTAAAAGATGTTCTAAAACACCATTTACAACAGCTGCAACTTTATACAATTTTGGAGACCATTCTTTGACTAGTTGGAGAAATCCATCAGGATCCATTTTCAAATATTCATAAAGAACCATTTCATAAATTAATGGATCTAATGTTACATCACCTCTTGGAAGATAAGAAGAAATAGATCGCAATTGATGAACCCTTGCAAATTTATATACCTGCAAAAAAATAATATAAGTAAAATTATAAATAAAACAAATAACTTAAAAAAAACAATACCAACTTCTTCTTCCCATAATTTTTTATCTTTTCCTAAAATTTTTAAGCAAAGTTTGCCTGCTTCATCATATTTTCCACAAGCTAACAAATGATCTAAGTATACACGACCAACATCAACTAAAGTATACTTTTTACAGTTTTTGCCATTATTCACTGTTACTGCTTCTAATGCTTGTTCAAATTTTCTATGATTTAATAACCATTCTATTCTATCATCTGCATCATATAAACTAGCTATAACAATATCTTTTGGGCTTACAATAAAAAATCTATAAATAGATATAAAAACAATTTTAAAATAAATTTAATAGAAATGAATATTAATAATATTAATAAATATAAATACCTATTTTCTTCTTTTAGACAATCTAAATGATAATCATTACAGCTATATTCTTTATAGCCACGAAGTGTAAGAGAATTTGCACAGACAAGAGAGAAAACCTGATATTTTGGTTCAATAACATGCAATGTTGGTCTCTGACTTTTTCCATTTTCATCTAACTCTTTCAAACAGCCCAATAATACTAATTGATTTTCTAAAGGTGCAATACCAGAAATATAAAAATCCACTCGAAAAGTTGAAACTAAAATTAATACTTTATTATTCATTGTATTTCTATAATTTATAAGTTATAAAATATATACCTGGATCTACTACATATTCTGGTAAGTCTCTGTTAACCATTTCTTGTGTTGATCTTTTCCTAATTTGACAAATTCGTACTATATCAACCCAACCAATTAGTAATGTTCTTTCATCTGACCAGCGAAGATTACATCTATAATGTTCTGGTAATGCACTATATCAGAGAAAAATTATTTTAATTTTGATACTATATAGAATTTTTATAATATCACTTTTTTTACTTACTCAGCAGATTTGCTCCATTTAATAAGACCTAATGAACATCTGGCATTTAAATCATAAATTCTAACACCAGTATCAGATGCCCAAGCCACAAAGTGACCAATCCACGCAATTGATCTTACTCCTCCTTCTGCATCACATAGTACAGTTAGTTTCATTCGAGATAAAAAAGTTTTTTCATACAAAACCAATTTATCATCTCCTAAAAATAATTTTTATTTCAAAAAAAGCTAAACTTTAACTTGTCTTAAAAAATTAAATATATAAAATAAAATAACCTGTGATAAATCTTCTTCCACTACCACTTTTATAATAATTTGGATCTATAGCTATACTTTTAACTAATCTACCCATACTCATATTATGATTATTCTCTGTACTATAAAGACCATATATAAAAACTTTTCCATCATCACTACATGATGCAATGAAATCTCCATTGTGATCTATAGATATTTGATTGACAGCAACTGTATGTGCTTGTAAACTTTTAGATTGTATATTATTTCCTTGATGATCTAAAAGGTGTATCATACCCCAATGTGATCCCAGACATAGGAACTAAACAAAAATTAATTTATTATAATATATAAATATTATGAATTATATAGCTATTATAATTTAAAGAATATATATACTAAAATATTTCATTTATATTATACAAAAAATAATGACCAAAAATCAGAATTTATAAAATTTATATATATAAATTTTATTATGGTTAACCTTTTCATAACTTGAAATTATTATTAACTTTAACATGTTTATAAATATTAGTGATTATATTTCACACCTTAGGATGTACTGCAATGCAACTAGCTGCATCATTTTGTAATATATGTTCCAAATCATTTCGTACCCTGACATATTTGAGCCTAGGTTCTACTTCGTCTACTTCAGAGTCTGAATCATCTTGATTATTTTGGTCTTCCTATAAAATAATTTGATACAATTAATACTTTAGCATCTTTTATTTTTAAAAAGTTTAAATAATACCTTATTTGAGGTATTTTCCATGCCCGTTTCTTTAATTTTTTGGTTAAAAAGAAACTTGTCAACGTTCGTCCACGAAATGTCAAAACCTTTGAAACCTTTTACTTATCTATCACAAATTTTTCTTTTTTTAATTTTGTTTCGTTATTTGCACTTTACATTGATTAACATTACAAAACAATCATTACAGAATGAATATATTAAAAATTTTTAAAAATACATTTTCAGTAAATATATTTCAAAAAGACAATCATATCAATACAATGATTCAGTTTTAATATACTATACTAATAAATATTAATATAGTTTATTTTACTGTGATGAAAGGTTAATGTGAGTTAGTGCTAGGTGTACTGATTATGATGATAAAAAAAGCAATTTTTCTATTATACCTATTGCATAAAAATAATGAAAATATTGTTTAATTAATTATTATTATATCATATAAATATTCATAGATAAATTATTTTTAATTTAATTAAATTTCTTCAATAAAATAATTCAAAATGTCAACAAACAATTCTATGTCCGATGAAAATACAACAATTTCACGATCACCACAAAAACGCAAAGAAATTCTGAGGAAAATAATAACTAGAGCTCAATCTTTACGTAAGATTTTGAATATATATTATAAAAGAAAAATAAATATTATATTTAATATAAATTTTTCAGAAGAATCAATTAATGATGAAACTATAAAAACTCTGGAATTATGCATGGAAGAAACAGACAATATAAATTCTGAAACAAGTATAGAAGAAAAGGGTACATAACTTCTGAATATGTTTTATTTCAATTGATTCAATTTTTTGTTTAAATATGCATTTTTATTATTTAATGTTATTTTTTTAGTGCATAATCAAGAAGAAGTATTAATGGATTCAGAAATGATGCACATATCTTCTAATGTTTTAAAACATTGTACAAGATCCTTAACAAAAGTTGTATGCTCATATAATTATATAGAATTTGCTAAAAAAATAGTATGTATTATGATAAATTTTTTGTTTTATAATTGTTTAAAAGTAAATTTCATACATTTATTTAATTTAGGTACAATATGTAAAACAACTTCCAGATGTTGAACCAGAAACACCAGATTGGTCACTTCTGGAATCACGAGTTATAAAATGCTTTAAAAGAACACCTCAATATAGTACATTGCTAGGTTTTATTCAATTTTACTATTAAAATTTATATAACTAATATTATTTTTTATTACATTATATATTTATTTCATGTATACTTTTAGGTACTTTAACACCATTAGAAAAAAAGGAAATTAATAAAAAAAAGCCTGCAGTAAAAGAAGCTCAAGCACAGATTAAAAGACCAGATAATGTTGTAACAATTGAAAAGGAAGAAGAAGGACCAGAAGAAACTGTAAAAATGAAAGAGTTTATCTCTAAATATTATAAAATTTATCGCAAACCGCTTGATTTTTTCAAATTAATTTTACATCCTAATGATTTTGGAAAAACAATTCAAAATATTTTACAAATATCTTTTCTTGTTAGAGATGGAAAGATAAAAATAACAAAAGGTACAATGTTAGTTTTTGCAATTATTAAAACCTATATATACTTCTATTTATTAAATATTATTTTCTTGATAGATGCATCTGGAATACTAGTTGTTCAACCTTGTACTAAAGACATGACAGCTCAAATGAAGACAGGAAATATCGAAAATATTCAAAATGTAATGTATTTAAATATGGAACAGTGGAAGGTAATGTTGCTATTTCAAATTAGTTTTTTAAATTATGTATTTTTTTCTTTTTAAAATTCATTTTATATTTTAGATCCTGAAAAATATTTATCAATTGGAAAATCCATTAATTGAATCTGAAATAAAATAATTTTCTTCTATATAAAATAATTTCTATTTTCTTTCTATCTTAAATGAAAAATACCTTGTAAAAACAAAAAATATTTGGCCTTTTTTCTCTATATTTTTGTAAAATTTTTATTAATTTCTAACATATACTATAATATTAAAGTATATGTTATAAATAATAACAATATCAATTTGAAAACATCTGGAACAAAATTACACAATTTATACAAAATTTATGATTAATTATGTTCATGATGTTTTCGAAAAATTTATGTACTTTTTGTGAAATTTCGAACGGAAAACAATCTTCTAATCCACGTACATTGTTTAAAAATCCCTATATTTTTGGATAAAGACCAATATTTATAGAAAAAAAGAAACAGGTATTATTAGAAGATCGTTTTAATTACTTTTTAATGACATGATTAATGACTGTGAATTAATTTATTGTTTTGCCAACGATTCTGCTTTCGCTACTACTTCTTCAATTGGACCGACCATATAGAATGCAACTTCCGGCAAATGATCATAATCTCCAGCAAGAATTTTCTTAAATCCTTTAATAGTTTCTTCTAATGGTACTAATTTGCCAGCGTGACCAGTAAATACCTCAGCAACCTATATGAAAAAGATTAATTAATTTCAAACATAATATTATGAAATATCGTCAGTATCGTAAAATATATATACCTGGAATGGTTGAGACAAGAACCTCTGAATTTTACGTGCACGTGCAACAGTGAGTTTATCTTCTTCCGATAACTCGTCCATACCTAAGATAGCAATAATATCTTGAAGTGATTTATAATCCTGTAAGATTTTCTGTACGCCACGAGCAACATTATAATGTTCAGCACCAATTATATTAGGATCCATGATACGAGAAGTAGAATCGAGGGGATCGACAGCAGGATAGATACCTAATAATAAAAAAAAAAAAAATCGTAAATTTTCACATTATTGAATTTTAATACAAAAGTTATAAAAATAAGTATTTATATTTACCCAATTCAGCAATAGCTCGAGACAATACAGTTGTAGCGTCTAAATGAGCAAAGGTAGTAGCAGGCGCAGGATCTGTCAAATCATCAGCAGGTACATAAATAGCCTGCACAGAAGTTATAGATCCTTTTTTTGTTGTGGTAATTCGTTCCTGCATACTACCCATATCAGTTGCTAATGTTGGCTGATAACCTACAGCAGATGGGATACGACCTAACAAAGCTGATAACCTTTAAAAAAAAAAAACTTTTAGTAAAAAAAATATAACATAATAAATTATAACATAATAAACAATAATACATACTTCAGAACCAGCTTGAGTAAACCTAAAGATATTATCAATGAATAGTAATACATCTTGTCCTTCTTGATCACGGAAATATTCGGCAACGGTTAAGCCAGTCAAAGCGACACGAGCACGAGCGCCTGGAGGTTCGTTCATTTGACCATATACCAGAGCTACTTTGGAAGTTTTATCTTTTAATGAAATGACTCCAGATTCAATCATTTCATGATATAAATCATTTCCTTCACGAGTACGTTCACCCACACCAGCAAATACAGAGTAACCACCATGGGCTTTTGCTACATTATTGATTAATTCCATAATTAATACAGTTTTTCCAACACCAGCACCTCCAAACAAACCTATTTAAATATAAATATCTATTTAATTAAATTGATATGAATAAATTGCATATTATAAATAAAATTTTAATAAAATATAAATTTTACCTATTTTTCCTCCTTTAGCATAAGGAGCAAGAAGATCAACAACTTTTATTCCAGTTACTAAAATTTCCTGTTCAACAGACATTTCTACGAATTCAGGAGCATCAGCATGGATAGGAGCAAGTTTATCAGTAGGAATAGGTCCACGTTCATCAATTGGTTCACCAATAACATTAATAATGCGTCCTAATGTCTCAGCACCAACAGGAATACGAATAGGATATCCAGAATCCAGAACATTTTGTCCACGAACAAGACCTTCAGTACCTACATGATTATTTCAGTATAAGTAAAAAATTTTTACAAAATATTTATATTTCTTATTATATTTTATATTTAATATACATAATTATAACATGAAATTACCATCCATAGCAATAGTGCGTACTGTGTTTTCCCCCAAATGCTGTGCTACTTCAAGGACTAGCCTGGGGGTGCGATTTTGTACTTCCAAAGCATTAAGAATTGGAGGAAGAGCATCATCAAATTGTACATCAACAACTGCACCAATGACAGCAACAATTTTTCCTTGAGCTCCACCTTTGGAACTTGCAGCTTTTGCATAATCTCTACCTAATTGTAAATAATTATTTTCCTTAATATTTATTCTTGCATATAATTATTATTTCTGAAATTATATATTTAATATATAATATTATATTTCATAATTCACATGACAATATAGAAAAATTACAAATAAAATAATTGTTAATAAAATATTTTTAATAAATATTTATTAAATATATAATATTATTATATTATATATAAATATTATTAATATTATAATAATAATAATAATAATAATATAAAAATAATAATTATAATATTATAATTATATTTAATAAATATATATATTAATATATATATAAATATATATATTAGATAATACTTATAAAAGATAAGTTACATAATACGTGAATTTCATTAAAAAATTAAGAATTTCATATTTTTTATTGAATCAATATATAAAATCTAAATTATGTAATAATATTGTTAAAAATAATATAAATCTATAAAAGATTTGAAAAATGAAGATATTCCTATTCCTATAAAACGATAATAGTAAAAAGAAATAAAATAATAAATTTTTCATAATATAAAATATAAAATAGAAATTAGATAAAGTTTTTTTAGATAAAATTATAATTGAAACAAGTGAATAATTAATAACATTGACAAATTATTTCGATGCAGTCAAAAATGAATCGATGACCTTAATGCCGCCATATTGGGTACAGTAGAATTACCACTGTGGTTTGATCAAATAATATGGATTATATAATCAATTGAATATCTTTTTCTTAATATTTAAATGTCAATTAAATAAACAAAAACTACATTCTACAGAAATATAAAAAAGAATAATAAACTATATTAAGTAATAACATAACTAGATATTAAATATTGTCTATATAGAATTTCATAAAGCACAGTGTTAAAGAAAACAATGAAACTGAGAAAATGATATTTTCTAATACTTACTATTTACTGATAATGCTCCCGAAATTTTAGTAATTTCATTTTGAAGGATAGAGGGTTTGACGGCCCTTAAGGCGCCAGCAGCAGCTTTCGATACGACATTCAACATCTTAACCGGCCAAGTGAAGAAGAGTGACCGGAATAGTCTTTAATTCGTATGGATAGTACTGTACCAGCAGCGTATGCGCATATACAAAATTCTATCATTGCGCATATATCTAGCGCAGCTTTATTATCAAATCGTTGTATTCTTCCTCATGCCGCATTCCTAAAGAGAAATATTTTCTCCCTTTTTTTAAAATACAATATGATTGGAGAAAAATATTCGTTTAATGAATACTTGATTTGTTATTATATAATTGCATATATATGATTTAACTTGTTTTCTATGTAATTGTGTACTGTGCACGAGTTGTATCGTATAGCATGAATACTGTATATATACTGGGTTTATGAGAAACCGGGTACATTAAATTTAGTATATTTTAATATAAATAAGTTATTAGAAAAATAAATATAAAATGGTTGAAGAACAACAAAAACGAGTCGATGAATATACTAGAAAAATAGTAGAAGAGATTGATAAATCAATGAGAAAAATGAAGGTGCTTTGAACTTGTAATATTTTCAGGTTATACTGTGAAACATGCGTATTTTCATAATTAAAAATCTCATTTTTTAATAAAATAATAAAATTAATGAACTATAAAAAATGTTATATTTAATTTTAGGGTGATGCATACAGATGTGCTGCAAGTTGTTGTGATAATGAGACTTACAGTATAAAAAAAATTGAAAATTGTGTAAGAAATTGCAATAATTCTTTAGATCAAGCTCAAGAATATGCTAGAGAAGAACTGGAAAGAGTTCAAGTATGTTGTGTTTTTTTTTCTTAATTAATAATCCCAAAATTAATAAGATTTAATAAATATCATTTTTTAGAATCGATTACAAAGATGTGTTATGGATTGTAATGATAGAATAAAAGATGCAGCAGGACCTAATCCATCACAGCGCGATTTGGAGAAATACAGTGAACAATTTGACAAATGTGTAACAAAATGTGTAGATCATTATTGTGAAATATTACCTAATTTAGAAAAAACAATGAAAAACGTTTTGTCCGAAAGAAAATATCAATAGTAATATAATAATAAATATAAATAAAATTAATGAATTGCAATCTAGAGACAGTAAAATTATTCAATACTAAACTGCCAATATTTTATATACATTATATAAAATCATTTTTTACTATGTATAACATATTTTACATATTTCCTATTATTAAGAGATTTATAATAAAATATTAACTTTTTGTTTTATTTTATTATAAATCTTTTAAAATACAAATGATATTGTACAAAAACAATTTTAACACGTACATTTTTATTGCATTTAAATATTGTGTAAACAATATTTTGTATACAAAAAGAATGTATACAAGAAAAAAAAGACCAATAATTTTATGATTATTGTATTTATTAATTAATACACTTGATTGCAATGGTACATTTTTATTTCTCTTTTTATTTTTCTTTCTCTCATTTTCTTTCACTCTCTCTCCCTCTCTCTCCCATCCTTTCTATTTTGTTTAACATAATAACAAATTCACTGTTGCAATTAATATCATTTCTTTATTGTTACAATAGACATTACGCTTATTGCACACTTTTTTCATGATATAAAACCTTTCCACCACTCTCGCTTGATACAAAATAATCGTTCAAAATATGTTGCATAAATTTTGATCTAAACTGTAGAAATTTGCGAATAAATCGTTTAAATAATAATAATTTAAATATAAATATTAACACAACATATAATTCACTTGTTTCTTTACGTGTACAAGTTTTCTATAAAACTAGCCCTATTAGGCTTAGTATCTTTTTCTTTCGTTTTCTCTTTCTGAAAGGATCATTGTAACGTTCAATTCTTGTCATAACTGCATAAGATTGAGGTGGCTCGGTGCACTTATTGCGCAATGTAAGTATGAGCGAAGTGCCCTTTGCAGTGAACAGCCTTTTGCTGATATGCAAATTCGAAAAAATTCGACGAGAGTGATTACATTTCAAGTAACGAAATAACTTCTCGCGTTTCATTTTTTTTCTTTTTTTCTTTTTTTTTTTCTTTTTTTTCAATACGCGTCTCAAATTCCTAAATGCGACTCGTACATGTGTTGATTATGACTCAATATCGTCAAATGGAATGGCATGAGTTTTTGGAAAAATGTCAATTTCTCAGATATTTCTGAGGTATAAGTGAATGCTGCGGTATTATTTTGCACCTGGCGTCGCACGGATTGAGAAAAAAAGTCTATGTAACATTTTGTATCCCAATCAGTCAGACTCTTCGGACTAGATTTTTTTTTTCTTTTAATAAGATTGAGATTACGCGCTTCTTTATCAAACGCTGTCACATGTGAATAACTGTAGGTACATCTGGTAGAAAAAGAATTGAAGGTACAAGGTGAATGTAAGTTATGGCGCTGTGGCAACAAATTTGGCCAGTGCGTTTCGCCTTATAAAAATTTAAATTCCAATTATCGCGCATTATCATCTTTTCTTTTTTTCTTTTTTTTTTTCGTAGAAACTGAATTAAATTCGAGGATGGTACAAAACAAGACAAATACCTACATATTCTGCTTTAGATTTTGAGGTAATCAGATATCACAAAATACAAAGAACAGTAATAATTTTATAGGAAGTTCCTGCGTTTTAACTGCAAAATTTAATATTGGATAACATTTTCATGTAAAATTTACAACTTTCACGCAATAAACTTGATTTATATAAATAATAATTAGGGCAAAATAGAAATCATGATTTGATTTATCGTCAATTAATTTTAACTTCTGATTAAGGAGCAAAAATCACTTTTTAACAATATGAATATTTTTAAACATCATATCCTGATAAAGCCCAATGCGAAACATATAAGGGTACTGGTCAAGTTTGCCGGAACACCCATTCGAAAATTTCTAAATAGAACTGCGATTCTTGGTCCTATCCTAAACTATCACCGATTGTAAATTAGTTTCTTCGATCTTCATTGCTTAATTAATATCGTGTTTAATTGTGCACCTGCAGAACGGAACATTCCAAGTATCCTATCAGCAGGTTCACTGTACTATATGCCTATGATCGCGGAGCAAAACAGTCGCTTTCGTAGCTGTGCAACTAATCTTTATGATCTTCAAAAATTTTTGTATGTCTCTTCATTTTTTGAAATAGATCTTACGTTTTCAGAAAAGTATAGTTGTTAACAATTCTGCACTGAATATTAATTATAGGCATTACGAATTCGCTGCGTTGCTTACCGTTATCATCATCGCAACTCGCCTAATATGGCTGACATAAAGCTTGACCTCGTCGTTACGAATTTTCCTTCTACTTACATGGATATTCAATTTGTACTTTGAAATTGAGTCAACTATTTGTTTCCTTCATGAGCTTTGATTGAATCTAGTTTCCACATAATTACTATGGAATTTGAACCAAAATTTGAATATTATTATAATTAGAGAGGATGTATTCTTTTAAATGTAACACTGATCATTTCGAATATTATAGGTATTTTTATTTAAGAGACAGAAAAAAATATTTATTATAATAAATTTCACTATATGGTAACTATTTCAATTAAAGCACAGTTAAACCCGCTTAAACTGAAATTCGAACGCCGTGGACAAGCCTTTTTTCAATTAAATAATAACTTTGTTAGCCGATCTAGCTAATCTGTGTTTAAAAAAGAAACATCAAACAACTAGGAAGAAAGACTATTGATTTTAAAGAAGAGAGTGCGTACTTTTAGATAGAATAGGTAAGTATCTTCGAAGTCGTTGAATACGTGAGAATCTTGATATATTTTATAATTTTAATTTTGTCGTTTGGCACTCGAGCCTCAAATATTATCACTTATACTTTTAATCGCAAAATACGTCAAAATTATGTTGATTCTAACGATGTTAGAACCTTTTCAAGATTTTTACCAACTTACTACCTTCACTAAAATTTTTATCAAAAAAGAATAATAAAAGTTTCCTACTACTAGTTGTTTGCTAAATTCGAAGTACAAAGCGCAACAATTAGCCTCATAACTATAAATGACTCTCACGCATTCCTCGGGCTCCTATCACGTACATATTTTTTTTTTTTTTTCTTTTTCTTTTTCTAAACGTTAGGGCTACTCAAGATGATTTTTTAAATGTTGGAGCATTAAAGACTCCAAAGGAAAAAAAATATCGAAAAAAATATATAGTCATGTAGAAAGTAACAAAAATAACACGAGTAGCCCCTTTGTTCTTCGGTCTGCCTTGCAGAAAACCAAGTCGCGCTTAAAAAAGGCTTAGAACACACTTTGAATATCGATCCCTGTAGGCGAATGAGACAACTCGCATCCACTGGTGCACGTATTCACCCGTTAATTCTAAAAAGAAGAACAACACCGTGTTCCCTACTCTCGCTCGCGTCCAATATTCCTTTTAAATTAAAAAAAAAAAAAAAAAAAAAAAAAAAGGAATAATACT